TGTGTGTGTGTGTGTGTGTGTGTGTGAGAGAGAGAGAGAGAGAGAGAGAAGGTAAGTCTCCAAGGTCGCGCCTGACGTCACGCGACTTCGATCTATAGGATGAGCAAAATAAAAACATGGAAAGATAACCGCGACAACAGCAACTGCGCCGCCCGCCCCCCGGGAAAAAAGGGTACAAATGCACCAAGCCCCCCAAAAAAAAGGCCGCTCGAAACAGGCCGCCGCATCTAAACGCGCGCCCGAATTCACGAGCCCTCGAAGCCGCGCCCTGCAAAATGCGACGTGAGAAAATGTGCACTAAACGACAAAAAAAAAACAAAACGAAACGTTGCACAGCGCCTGTCCCATCCAACCGACGTCCGGGCCTCATTTTTCCTGGGGCCAGGGGAACCGACGTCCGGGGCCCCTTTAAGATAAAATAAATGAGTAGAAATGAGGTAAGATATACCCTTTTAAACCCCTCTAGTCACTGTTTAGAGTAACGGTATACCCCCCAAACACCCCTGGGTGACCCACCACCGAAATGGAAGGGAAGACCAGATTCTGACTGCACATGCCGAGTGCAGTCCTGGCCTGAAGTCAGTTTCTTTTTTTTGGAGATCCTTCCCTCTTTTTTGACCCACCTGGTTTTGCCAGGCGATAGCCTCTGGCCCAGCTTGCCCGGGCATGCCTGGCCGGGCGACGGCCCAGCCTAGCATTTGAGAGCATGTACCAATTATGAAAGCGACATTAGTAGGTTTTGCTGATATGCACAATGGTGGGATAGGTATGCTTAGGTTTCCTCGTATCGACGTCAATTAGTTCTGAATCACAGTCTCATGATGTGCAATTCTTTCCCAAATGCTTGCTGCAATAGCCATGTACTAACACGTTTTGGTAAGGAGCTCCAAGTCCAAAGTACAGCCTAGCCATATTGAGTGCTCAGTGTGATTCAATTTTCTTTCTTGTATGTATTTCTTCTGTGTTGTGTCTGTTTGCCTTGATCTCAGGTTTGTTAAGCAAGGTCTTCTTTCACAGGTGCTTGAAGCCTTGCTGGCCATGAAAGGTTTAATTGTTCAGAAGACAAAGCTGACAGGAGATTGTACAAGGCTGCTGAAGGACTTGCTGGAAAACATGCTGCAGGAGAGTGAAGAGAACAAAAGGGAGTTCATCCGTGCATGCGTTGTAGGTCTGGAAAAAGACCGCAGCCTGGGACGCACACAGCTGGTATGATTACTATGTCATTCCTCAGCTTCTGGATTTAGTCTGTTTGAGAGTTAACACCTGATTGTAGCCTCTATGTTTGAAAGTTAACACCTGGCCGTAGCATTTATGTTTCACAGTTGGCACCTGGTCGTAGCCTTCCTGTTTGGGCAATACCCGTCATCCACTGTTCTATGACAACATTGATGTCACATGTCCGGATCGGAGGTTGGATATGTTGGGAAGCCAAGGGCAATCATCTAAGGTGGACACACAGCCGTCGTGCATCAGACTCCTTACACAACTTGTGGCCTACCTTCACAATATACTGCTGAGGTGGGCCACTCTACCCTGACATCCGACTTCAGGGTCGGTGCTGCAGTCCACAGGTACTGCAAATGTGCTTACAAACACAGCACCATGCAGCTTAGGCAGCCATCCCGTGAGTGGAAGGGGAAGCCATTCAAAATCCCCAGGCTCCTGAATATGCAAGACCTCCACCGTCTCCTTTCTAGCCATTTCCATCAATGAAGGTGAAGAAAGTGGTGTGGAATGGATAACACAGACCATCCAATTGAACACTACACACACATACGGCATTGTTGCATGGAGACGAGTCCCTGTGGTGGTGCCAACTGGCTAGAACAATCCTCAGGATAAAGAATAGGCAATGTCAGCCATTTCCTCAGGCACAAGAGAAGATGCTTCATCATCCCCTGCTGTTCTCAGTTTCCCTGTTTCGGATGAGTTTGTTGATGCTTTTGAGATGCAGCTTGTGAGGACATGCTGGAGTTGGGTGCTATTTACCGCTCGTAGAGACCCATATTCTCTTTGGATATTTTATGCTTTCTTAAACAGCCCAGATCTCACCTGAGGTTTCTGCCCAATGCCCGGTGATGAGAAGGTCGCAGCGTACCCCCTTTATATTGGGGTTTGAAGGACCTCAGGGGCTGGCCACCATGACTCCCTTAAACTCGTGATAGCTATGCTGTCCATGATGGGTTGGCTTGATGGACATTGAGCCACTGCAACATAACGTTGAGTAATCTTACTTTGCCATGGGCTGAGCGGGTGCTCCATGAGTTTAGCCACAGTATTCAGAGATATGCTCAGCGAGCTGTTACTGCAGTGCAGGACACGAGCTGTCCAATGAATTGCCTCTCCATGAGGTTGAGCCCAAATCAGGTGTTGACACCAAGTATTGACGTCTAGTAATGCAGTCACGTGATAGAATCTTCTCCTGTGGAATCCGGAAGATCCATTTTGCTGCAATGACAATGGGCTCTTCAACTTCAAAGTGCTTCTGGAAGTCTCCAACTGTGGCGAAGTTACCTCGGTATGCAGCTCTGGAATGGTGGTACTGGGGATGACTGCTCAGTTTTCCGTCCATGCTTGGCAGTCCCGACCGAATCGGATACGGCTTCATGTGATCACAGGCAACCCCGTGATATTGGGAAGCTTGGGTGATCCATTGCCTGTAGGACCTGGCTGTGACAGAAGTTCGTTCAGCAACGGCATAATGTTGGAGCAGACTGAAGTAAGGTCGAACAGACGTGTAAGTTGAGGGTGGAGCACTCCCAACCCCTAAGCAAGATCTGGATGGAAAGGAGATCAGTGGCTATTTCTGAAGGAGAAATGGGGATACCGTGTAACTGGGACTCAAGCGCAGCCACCTTTGTCAGCAGGTTGTTGAACGCATCAGAAATATGGTTGACCGGACCTTCCAGCCAAGTAGAGTCATGGTGCTCCTCTTATTGGAGTACAATCATCTGCAACATCTGCAAGATGTGGCTGGGCAAGGTGCTCCTCTTAGTGGAGTACACTCATCCGCCCCCGCTATGGTTATCTACCCCTTGAGATAGGCGATGGTAATCTGCTCCTGTTAGCTTCGCATGACCAGTTTCTCTCCTCCTGCTGAGTTTGTCAAAGTTGTTTTTTGGCTTCCTCTTGGGGTCACTGTTTAGTGGCCACTGCTTCAGTGTCCTTTTGCAACCTCTCGTCTTCTTCCTCCCGTTTGATCATCAGATTCTTGTTTGATAGAGGTCTTCTATTGTGCCTGCCGCAACTAAGTGGCCATGTGAGCTTCCAATGCGGTAGCACTGGGATTCTTTTCCACAGTGATGCATGCCTGGTGATGAGCTGGGGCAATGCAAAGATCACAAACACGAGGAAGAGATGAGATGTGAAACAGCGGAAGACTCATATGAGATTAGATATGACCTGACCATGCAACAAAATGACAATGTGACACATATCCGATCTCACACCAGAAGGGGAGGACTCCGAACATAGAAGAACCTCCCCGCTCAAGTCACACGGAGAAGTCATGCAACACTCATGAACAATTCCAAATGAATCTCAGATCTCGAATCACGGCGCCTGGCTCCCGAAATAACTATCGCAAGTCTCCTGTGTCTCTCGTTCTCATTCTCAAGTGGACGAAGAAGAAAAGATGAGTAGGAGTATGGATATCCCCCCCCCCCCTCTCCCCCCCCCCCCCCCCCCCCCCCCCCCCTCCTCTCTCTCCCTTTCTCATGGAGCTGCTGCTGCTGGGTGAAAGGCAGAACCTTGAGCCACTGGTGCACTGCAGACGTCCAGAAGAAGAAGAATGCCAGCTGGTGCTGGTAGTAGACCTCCAACGCATGGCACCAGAGTGCATTACCCCCAGTCTCCTCTTCTAATACTGGCTGCTCTACCTCCGCTATCACTGGGCTGCTCTACCTCCACTATCACTGAGCTGCTCTACCTCGCACCGTGGTGGCTCACAAATGAGAAGTCTATCTGCCTACTGCTTTGCCAGCCACCAACGCCTCCCTCCCAGGTCGTCTGAGTGGATGAAAATCCGATGATCTGTGAAGGCAGCCGTGTCTGGCCGAGTCACTCAGGCCCAAAAACGAGCGGCCTGGGTCCTCCCTACGACCAGGCCCTGCCCTGTTGTCTCAGGAGAAGGGCCTGGAAAGAAAAACAGACCCGGCATAAAATACAGGACGCAGGGCCATGCATTAGCAGAGAAGACTGGCCAAAGCAGAAGAGTATGCCAGAGGTCGGGAGTGGAAGAACTTGTGCCTGTTTGGACAAAAAGTTCTTAAGATGCAATATAGACCAGGACAAAACGAGCTGGCACAAAGAAAACCGAACTGACACTAGCTAAATATTGCGGAAAACACAACTGAAAGGATTCCACCGCAAGTGGACCCTGATCTAATCCTCTGCCCCAGTCCTGGTCCGAGATTCCCATGTCTCTGTACTATATTTTGGTTCCCTGCGCATACCCAGTACACTGACATTTTGTCATAGGGCCGTTTCGAATACAGCGTGCAAGTTGGGTCAGCAGCCCCAGTCCCAACAATGGCAGTGAACATCATTGAACGTCATTTGTCGGCCGCAACCTGCAGGTGAGGGTTGGTTACAAAACAAAATAAGGCGCTCAAATAGTTGCTTCGCCAATGAAGTATTTCGTGAATGAATCAGAGAACTAAGCACTTTGCCAATACCTCAAGCGGCTCCAGCTGATGCGCTTGTTGCACAGCCTGTGCCAATTAATTTTGCACCTTCTAACATAGCCATCTTCTTTTTGTTTGTATCAAAACAATGGCCATTTATCTAGTACTTTCTGAACTCGTGGCATTATTGTGAGGTTAAGGCTCCTCGGCAGGCCTAAGGGGCCCCTGATGCATGTGTGCCCACCCTAAGTGCTAACAAATCACAAGAGGCCAATGCTGCCAATTTCGTATTTGGGGTTTCAGGCAGTTGTGTCGCGTCCGTTGGTTGAGGGAACCCAGGACCCGAGCAGCAAAGATTTTCCACGGCCTTCTAGGCCTTTTCTGAAGTGCAGGCCCTGGGCCACATTCACAGCAGTATACACAGACAGTTGGGCGGAGCAATGAACGAGGCCCAGCCGCACCAGCAGAGGCCCAGCAACCTGGGGCCTACCATAAGCTTCTGGGTGTAGGCCCAGCCCAGCGAGGTCGAAGGCCAGGCAGACTCTTTCGATATAGGAAAGAGCTTGCTGCCTGAATCCTCATTCAAGCACTTGCCAGTTTCTGGCAGCGCTGCTGGAGCGGACGCTCGCGTGCTGCTGCTAGTGCTAGGGGCAAGGTGCTGCGCACGTGCGGTCGTGTGGGACGAAGGGCACTGCTGAGGGCTGGGCTTGGAGTACAGCAAGGCGCAGGGGTGGTCTTCGGGTGTACAGAAGGAAGACGAGGTGGACAGACAAGAGAGAGAGAGAGAGAGAGAGAGAGAGAGAGAGAGAGAGAGAGAGAGAGAGAGAGAGAGATGAGGATGATGTGAGGGCTCATACCTGGTATTGGCGATGGTCTGCATTTGGGCGACATCTTCATGTACTTCGGTAGCTGCTGATGTCAACAGTTGCGTTGTCAATTCATAGGCAGATAGTAGCTGTGTGTGGGGGTAGTCTGGGAGCCCAGCGCCAAGTAGGGGGAAAGGGCCTGGACTCTTATTTTGGTGAAGACGATAGTAAGCTCAATGTGATTGTGCAATCTGATTCTGTCATCTCGCTATTGCTCATTTTCCTTGCACTATTGAAATCTACCTAAACCTGAACGAGTGGCCCATTTCAGCTTAAGAAAGGCACCTGAAAAAGAGGCGACTTGGATTAGAATGAGAAAAGAAAAGAAAAAATGTTACGATGCTGGTAATTCCGAAGTGCAAATACACAAGGAAAGACAATGCCGTTCAATTGCAAAAGAAATGCAAGAACTTGAAAGGAGACTAAGGAAGAGGAAGAAAGAAAAAAGAAAGAAGAAGATGTACACCAGCAAAAGACCGATGACAAATCCCCCTCGTCTCGCCACTCTCTCTCTTCGTCATCTTCCACAATCTTTTTTTCTTTTTTTTCTTTTTTTTTTGGTTGGTTAAAACAGGTCCTTATGGTCCTGGATCCTTTTCCATGTAGCAGGATTGACTGTCAGCCTGCCCTATCCACTTGTTCCTCTCAGGCTCCCTTCCAGGGCCTGTCAGATAGTCCTGTGCCAAGCAAGAAAAGTGAAAGGGTCCACTTCCAA